TATGGGTATTGGTATTGGTAGTGGTAGGGGTATGTGTATTGGTAAGAGTATATATTGGTATAGATATTGATATAGGTATAGGTATTGGTATCGATATTGGTATTGGTATATTAGTATTGGTATTAGTATATTAGTATTAATATTAGTATTAGTATTAGTATTAGTATATTAGTATCACTATTAGTATTTTCGTATTAGTATATTAGTATATTAGTATTAGTATTATTATCTTAGTATTAGTATTAGTATTACCATTTGTATATTAATAACACTAGCGAATTAATATTAGTAATAATATTAGTATATTAGGATTAGTATTAGCATTAGCATATAAGTATTAGTATTAGTGTTACTTAGTATTATGATTAAGATTAGAATTAGTATTAACATATTAGAATTGATATTAGTATGAATATTAGTATTCAGATTAGCATTATAATTAGGATTAGTATTAATATCGGCATTATGATTAGAATTATAATTAGAATTAGGATTTGCATTACCATTAGCATTAGCATATAAAGATTGGTATTAAAATTACCGTTAGTATTAGCATATTGCATTTCTATAGGGATTGGAATTATGATTCGTATTATTATTAGGATTAAGATTATAATTAAAATTAGTGTTAAAATTAAGATTGTCATTACCATTAGGATTACAATTTGGATTAGAACAATGAATGAGATTAGTATTAGAATTAAGATTAGTGTTAACACCAGGATTAGGATTAGCAATAACATTAGAATTACTAACGCTAATAGTAATAGTATTATTATCATATTAGTATTAGTTTTAGCATTAGTAATGAAAATGGTAATGGTATTGGTATTGGTGACGGTAACTTCAATGGTAATGGTCATGGTAATGGTATTGATATTCGTGATGGTAATGATAACGGTAATAGTATTGGTATTTGTATTCATATTGGTATTGATACTGGTATTCATTAGTTACACAATATAGAATATATTTTTTTTATTTTCTTTTACTTTCTACTAATTTGTATTGCATATCATTGATCTTACTATTTCGAGGACTCTTTTTTAAATAAAATATTATTTTTTACGACGAATACCCCGTGCAACGCACGGGTGAAGTACTAGAACAATGTATTAGTATTATTATTAATATTTATCGTTGTATTAGTATTAGTATTATTATTAGTATTAATATAAGTATTAGTAATAGTATCAGTATCAATATTAGTATAAATAGTAGTATTAATATTTGTATCAATATTAATATTAGTATTAGTATTAGTATTAGTATAAGTATTAGTATTAGTATTAGTATGATATTAGTATTAGTATCAGTATCAGTATTACTATCAATATCATTATTGTATCAGTATCACTATCAGTATTAATATCATTATCAATAACAACATGAGTCTCAGTATGAGTATGAGTATCAGTATCAATATATGTATCAATATATGTATGATTATTGGTATGACTATTGGTATGAATATTAATATTGGTATTAGTATTGGTATTAGTATATTAGTATCAGTATCAGTATGGGTATCGGTACCGGTATCAATATCAATATCAGTATCAATATGTGTATGTGTATCAATATGTATATTAGTATTAGTATCAGTATTAATATCAGTAATAGTATCATTATCAGTATCGATATCAATATCAGTATTATTAT